TTTTGTTCATTACCCATTTAAGCCGTCTCCAGCCATTATTACATACATCTGGATACCATAGAATACTGAAAATGGAAATTTTGTTGAAGCGTGTAACATATGTTTAAAATCTTGCACTTGAAGTTTTAACAACTTGAAGTGGGACTTTTAATTATCCAGTTTTTGTTTCAAATCAAATAAGCTTTTGAATGAAAAACAAAATCCATAGACTTAGCCCTCTTCTGGTTCAGCTGCAATTATTCTATATTGCCTTGTAATATAGTTGGAAAACATTTTTTTTCCTCCTTGAAAAGGGGACTTCGAGTAAAGTTATTAATATAAATCGGACAAACTTTAATCTTGTTGATTTCTAGCAATTTGCGGTGGTGATGTAATCATGGAGAAAGGTGTCTTGCAAAGTCCAAACTACCCCGATGATTACCGACCCAACACGGTATGTGAGTGGAAAATAAGCGTTCCTGAAACCTATCAAGTTGCCCTTGAGTTCCAATCCTTAGAGGTAAGTTATTGCAAAATTCACTTTTAATATATACAGGATGGTATAAAATAAAGTAATTGCACAACAAGTCATAAACGTGATATATTAGTTTGTTTGTAAATAATGCTTAGGTTGGATTTTTATGGAGTGCTAAACCTTTGGTTCTTTGGCGTCGATAATTCAAGCGTAACAATATACTGCTCACCAGAGTATCGGCCACCATAAGAGAGAATAACACTGAAATATATCCACATTTATATGTGAAAAACAAAATGGCATTAATAACATAACGTATACTAAAAATATTGTTAAATGATATTTAAACAGCATTGTTCTAGTTCTTTTCTTTATTCTGTCTAGGTTGAAAACCATGACAACTGTGTCTACGACTATGTAGAAATACACGATGGCCATGATGCTGCTAGTCCTCTACTGGGAAGATTCTGTGGTTACAAGATTCCAGGCGAAGTTCGTTCTACGAAAAATCAGATGTTGATTAAGTTTGTGTCTGATGGATCTGTGGAAAAATCGGGGTTTTCCGTAAATTTTATAAAAGGTTTGTTTTATGCACTGTTACAAACATATTCTTGAAACAAGGTAAGTTAATTGCTGCTAAATGCCTGAATACACGATTTTCGTATGTTCTCGTAACACTCGGTTTCTTTAGTATCACACTCCCAACACGATTAGAAATGTAGTGTTTAATTACAGGAATCACTTACTTTACTATACCATAGCTTCATATCCCCATATTATATCAATTACATATACACTAAATGGTAATGTTCTTAGTTCCTGTATTCATCACAGCAAATTAAAGATATGTTATCACAAGAAATGTTGCCTTGTTCCTAGAACTGTTTCTACCTTGTCCTTAGTTGTACCTCTCCCTCTCTCTTGGATTTCCATGGCGTTATTGGTGTATCCATGGGTCTATGGTACGTTTTTCAAAGCTGAACTCTGAGTCCATGTTCTTTGTTCCAACAGTAGTGAAGACATCTTTGTTGTTGCCCTGTCTATCTATAAAATCTACCTGGTCCAGTTTGTATATTTTAAGTTTGTACCTTCGAATTTAAACAGTAAATTCAGTTATTTCTGCTTTCCAGGCATGCTTTCAAGTCTGTTATTTATAGCGTTATATCAATTTATTTTATGGCTTTGTGTGATTTATGTTTTAGTGTTCTCTGTTAAAACTTAAGTAAATACTTGTTTTTATGACATGCATAAGGTCCAGCCTTTTTTCAGTTCCTCATTTACATCTTTCAATTCGTTCCTACCAACTAAATCTTCAAATACTCGATTACTGTCTACTGCTAGTAGCTAGCTGTACGAATATTTACATCCGGGAGCTCTTTTAAAAGTTGTATTTCCTAGGTAGGTCGACAAAATTATCACCTTTTTACTGAATTCTAAATTTGTTAGTAAATGTGCCTTTGAGACAATCACTATGGTATGGCAAACGTTAAAAAAAGAAGAATCGTGTGCAAATCAGTGTGAGAACAACTTTCGTTTTGAAATTAAGATAAAAAAACAACTGGTAACGACTTAGGAGTTACTGAGTTACTCCGTGATATATTGGTCCAAGTTGGATTTTGTCTGATAGATGGGATATCCCCAACGCATTTGGGTGCTATTGCCACAGCCATTATCTGTTATGACAATAAGTTGACAACCAGAACCGATAACGGTATTGCGATATTTAATTCATTATTGTTTTATAGTGCTGATTCAATCGCCTATTTACAATTTATGTAATCAATAGTTTGAAAGCTACTTGTATATGACACACACACACACACACACACACACACACACACACACACACACACACACACACACACACACACACACACACACACACACACACACACACACACACACACACACACACACCACCACCACCCTACCTACCTACTACTACGTACTACTACTTACTACTACTATACTACTACTACGTACTCGTACGTACGTACGTACGTAGTAACGTAAC